CAATGGAAATTTACACAGTTTCCTCATAATATTGCCTCAGGGGATCATGTAAAATGTAAATTGTATCAGTTCTAACAGAACACTGTAGAACTCCATAACTAGCTGTAGTATGAGTGGAAGAATCATGATTAACTTGAACAAACTAGAATCTGTCTGATAAATATGATTTAAACCAGACTCGTACAGTTCCTTTAATCCCAATGACATGTCCTTGGCTGTGTACTTAGGAGTTGTGACCAATTGTGTCAAACACAAAACTGGTATCTAGCAAGAAAAGTATAGACAAGAGTGCACTGTCTGAGGCTATTGGAGGATCATTGGTGACTTTCACAAGTGCTGTTTCTGTACTATGATGCATTCATCATGACTGAATCTCAGTCAGGTTGGACATAGGTCCATAATTGGCAAAAACACCTGGACCACGGTAGGCTTTTTGAGTAGTAATTTGATTACAGCAACCTTAAAAGTTTTCCAGATGTAGCCTGTTAAATAAAGAGAGAATATTACGTCTAATACTGAAGTGGTAAATAAAGGAAAAACCTTTTTAAGCAGTAGTTGGGATAGAGTCTAACAGACATGCTACTTATTTAGCAGAAGGGACTATCGGCATGAGTTCAGAGATTTACAGCAGAGAAGCAGTCCAAATATAAATCTGGTCCCAAAGACACCTCCAGAGCCACTGCACCTAAAGACATGGTCATTATATTCTCTCTGATGCTCTGTAAAGAACGTCATGAAGTCATCACAACTGAGTTCTAAAGGAATGAAAGACTCCACAGAGCTTTGTCAGCCTTGCTACAGTGCTAAAAAGACTCCTGGGATTGTTCTCGTTTTCCTCTTTTAGAGATGAATAATAAGCCGTTCTTGTTTAATGAGCACTTTATAAGTCATTAACTATTTTTTAAGGCAAATTGAAATTCTTATGAATTTGTGGAATACCACTGCCTTCCCTGTCTTCATGAAGTCTGCTGTAAGACTTTTAAGACATATTTGAATGATAAAGCATGAAGAAAGTAAATGTTGGCTCAAAAACCAGGAGCATGGGGCAATATCTGATTCTTCTGTCAGAATCCTTGTTTCAGCCCCTGTCTGGCTCCCCTTTTCTCTCCCTCTCACCCAGCCTGAGCCTCAGCGTCTGCCTCTGTCTGTCTCTCTACCTCCCTCGCTCACCCTCTCAATCACTCCAGCCCTGTTCACAGCCTGATTACAATTATTGGAGACAGCTGCAGCTACCAGCTCACCTGAGCCCAATCATCCATCTCCTGCTACAAAAGCCCTCCTCATTCCACCACACCCTGCCAGACCATAAACCTTCATCCTTCATGTCCTGCCAATCCCCGCTCTGTCTCCTGCCACTGGTCTCCGATCTGCTCCCAGCCAGCCTTCTCCTGCCTCTGATCCACAGCCTGCTTCCACCCGGATTTCCCCAAGCCAGCCTATACCTGCCACCAGCCCCTCAAAATAACTCAATACACAGCCATTAATGTCTAAACCGCTGGCAACAAAAGTGAATACACCCCTAAGTGAAAATGTCCAATGAGTGGTCTCATCAGACCACAAGACATGGTTCCAGTAATCCATGATCATCATCTTTAGAAGAGGCTTAATTCTGGGATGACAGTCATGCAGACCAGTTTGATGCAATGTACTGCATATGGTCTGGGCACTGACAGACTGACCCCCCACCCCTTCATCCTCTGCAGCAATGCTGGCAGCACTCATGTGTCTATTTTCCAAAGACAACCTCTGGATATGATACTGAGCATGTGCACTCAATTTCTTTGGTCGACCATGGCAAGGCCTGTTCTGAGTGGAACCTGTCCTGTTAAACTGCTGTATGGTCTTGGCCATCGTGCTGCTGCTCAGTTTCAGGGTGTTGGCAATCTTCTTATAGCCGAGGCCATCTTTATGTAGAGCAACAATTGAAGAGCTCGTTTGCATAAACAGATAACTCCATCTTCAGAAACCTTCAGAAAATCCACTTTTCCATCGTCTACCTGAGGCAATATCAATCAAACTTAAGTTATCTCTATTCTTGTGATGTCATTTCTACTGAGTCAAATCCACTCAACTTAAGCTTGATATTATCTCAAGCAAACAACAAAAATAAGTTTTCAGAAAACCTACAAAAATTGAGTTATCTGTTTTTGCAAATGAACTCTTCAATTATTTTTTTTTAGATCCCCACTTTTGTTGCCAGCAGTTTAGACATTAATAGCTGCGTACTGGGGGCTGCGGTGGTTAGCATCGTTGCCTCGCAGCAAGAAGGTCACCGGTTCACGTTCCAGTGAGGACACCGAGATCTTTCTGCGTGAAGTTTGCATGTTCTCTCCGTGCAGCGTGGGTTCTCTCTGGGTTCTCTGGCTTCCTCCCACAAGGTCCAAAAGCATGTTGAGGTTAATTAGTGATTCTAAATTGTCTGTAGGTGTGAATGTGAGTGTGCTTGGTTGTCTGTCTCTCAGTGTAGCCCTGTGATAGACTGGTGACCTGTCCAGGGTGTCCCCTTCTTTCGCCCTAAGTCAGCTGGCATAGACTCCAGCCCCCCCGCGACCCTAGTGAAGATTAAGTAGTGTATAAACAATGGATGGATGGATGGCTGTGTATGATGTTATTTTGAGGAGACAGTAAATCTACACTGTTATACAAGCTGCACACTTTGTAACAAAGTGTCATTTCTTCAGTGTTGTCCCATGAAAAGATATAATTACATATTTGCAGAAATGTGAGGAATGTACTGACCTTTGTGACATACTGTATATGGATTATATTTGCTTTTATTTTATTACTGTATTATAATAATAGTAATTATTTTCATTATTTCACTATTGTAGGTCTATGACCTGAATAATTATCCTATATAAGGAACAGTTAATGCATTCATTATCACGGATGTTTGGCATTGTGATACCAGGGCTGCTGAGGATTATTTGGGGAAGTAGCAACACATGCAGAATGTTTGGTTCCATCTACTAAATATCTCTACTCACAGGTGGTAGGTTTGTTGCAGTTGTGTCCATGTCTGAAGTACTGTGGGTTCTCTATAACAGGTATCCTGGTCATTCCAATTACCACAGCATCTTGGCCAGCATCCAGTGTACAGGGGCTGATAATCCCATGGTTCACATGATGAAGGGGGCTGGCAGAGTCTTCCTCACCACTAATCACCGCCACTGGACCTAGAAAGACACATAGAGGCATGTTTAGATGGATGGATATGTCTTTATTGTCAGAGTCAAGGAGTAAGTAATTATTCCTTCTTCTGGGACGCATTCTTCATGCAGATCCTGCTGTATGTGGAAAGACTATGGAGGGATGGGATGGAGTGTAGGGGGAAACAGAAGGATGTAGTGTTTGGGCTTAGTTTAGTAGTGCCAAAGAAAGAACACCATCAATCAATCAGCAGACCAGCATTTACGCAGCAGTTTGTCAACCAGTCACCTCCATTCAGTAAATCATGCTTTCACCACTACAGTTAATTATTCAGTCAGTGAGTCACCAAGACTGTGGGGTAGTTAGCTACCTATTCCAATGAACCCTTCAGCTAATTCTAATCATATTTAGAACCTACTTGAGATTTGTATAATTATCACAATTAGTTTTTAACAAAAAATTATTACAAGATTTTAAAAAATTCTGTGACAACAAAACACCAGATGTAGACATCCCATGATAATGAGCTCATCAAAGGCAGGAAAGTACTTACTTTCACTGAAACAAACAAACACCCGGTCATCTTCTGAGCATATGACCAGGTTTAGAGACACATAGAGCAAGACATTTAGTAGGTCTGACTTTATACACACGTCATAAACAAATTAAACAGCCACCACCATAGCTGAGCATGTCCACTTTGAAACTGCAGTGTTCTGTGGATGGTCTCAAAAAACATGTTCAAACCTCCAGGCTGTCATCTGAACAAACCCAAAAGCCAATTCTGTCAACTTCAAACACTTTTAAATATGAAAGTTTAAAATACATAGATTTTCAGAGGTTTGATCAATGACCAGAGTGGAGCTTCAACATGTTGGGTGAGTATGATCTTATCTTCCTTATCTCATTAGGAAAGAGGACAACTTGATTAAAATCTAAATTTGACTCTTAATGAAGTTGAGGAACTGACCACTTTCATGGTAGAATTTCTTTGCCAGGCCTGGAATAGAAGGCAACATATTTTGTTTAAGGACTGAGCAGCAGAATAGTGTATATTGTGAACGTATTGCTGCAGTGTTAGTATGCTGGTGTCTTGTGAACCCTTGAGGGTTGGGAACGCCTGTGTGCATGACACAAAAATAAAGAAATCAATCGTTAAAAAAATACAAGGTGGTGAGTTAGGTATTTACAAAACCTTTCCAGCATTTTTTTTGTTTTTTTTGAGGTATAACTTTACAGATGATAGCTTTACAGTACATTGGCATTAATACATTTTCATTGAAATACTTAATTTCTGCTTCATTTGTACCTACTGCCCACACTACTGTGTCAATCGATTTTCTGCTTTATCCAGTTAAGGATACACACTGGACAGAGCATCACAGTACTCTGTATTTAAGGCCTATAAAAAGTAGAGTTTTGGAAATGTTGCTGAGCCTGTTGCAGTTGGAAAACCCCGTGGATAATTTTAAGTCTGTATGATATTTTGATATTTTGGAAACAGCACTGCAGACACCTAAGTCAGGTTTAACATTATTGTACTTAAAAATAAGAGAAATATGCATTCTTTGGTTAACAGTATAACATTTTGATGTGTATTTATTTATTGTAATTGGTAGTAATAACATATACAGTAGTGGTCATGCCCGCTACTACTAAAAAGAATGTCCCAAAAAGCTTCTCTTTCTTACATAGAATGTATTGTGTATAGAATGTTTATTGCTGAATTTAGCATTAATAGTGTCAATATCATTTGTCATCAATAGCCATTTTATCTGTAGGCTTTTTGAATATGAACATGATTTTCATTCGATGGGATGTAGGGATAGCTTTCATTGCACAATTAGGTTCTCTGCTTGTTCTTTACTCCCCAACACCAACAGTCTCCTATAACATGACAATGTGCAACGCCCATGAACTGCCCAGGACAAGCGCGAGTAACACAACAAAGGGCCCAAGATATTAGTTTGTTTTCTTTTTTTGTGGCCATAGCTACATTTTAGCAGGTATGACACTGATTTATATTGAGGGTTGTCAGTCAGAGTCAAGTCTGACAAATAAGAAAACTAGAACAAAACAGTCAAATAGTCAAACTATACAAAACTGGGTGATTGACCAGACAGGAAACAAATTCAGCCACAAAAACAAAACAACAGTGCTTAAACAAGCAGACCACAACTCAATTCAGCATTTTAAAATTGTATTTGCAAACACAAGCCAGCAAGCAATGAGAATGGTTTAATGTGTGTGTTGCAATTCTGAGTCCAATTCAGTCAGGTTAAAGTCCACCACACAGTTCAGTTCAATCCAGCTCATTCCCAACACAACTCAAATCACAAATCAAGAATCAGCTTCAGGTTTTACTGCAGATCTCATAACACCGAAACCAAAGCAGGAAATAAAATACTGAATGACTCAAACAGCGTCTCTCAGTGCAGTGCGACACCTCACAGTGATGAGTATTTACACTGGGTGCTCATAGTGCCATGGACCAGTCTGTAAGTCAGTCAGTCAATGAGTAAACAATCAGGATTGCAACGTCTGCCAAAGAAATATTTCGTCCATGTACATGTATTCCTGCTGCTGACACGGATGGCAAAAGAGGCTCGCTTTAGCTCCCGAAACAGCTACAATCACGTAGACTTTAACACGCGATCGGATGCCGAGGTAAGGTTGGTGTTCTTCTGCTCCCCTGACCCACACATCAGCGTCTCTAAGACTTACACTAATAGGTTTTCCTGAAGGCAGGTTTAAATTAGGACTGCCAATTGCTATTATTTGTTTTTCTGCAAAACAAATCTACCCATGGGTATTGATAAAGTAACCTTGACCTTGACCTTGAACTTGAATTGCACAGGCTACGTGGACAGTTAGAAGAATTGGATTATTGGATGACTGTGGGTGGTAACTGAGACAAACCTAAATGAACGTGGGTGGTAATGTAATTCTGACGGAATTCGCTACAACTTTACTAAGTTCACACTTTCATACACCTCTGCAAGATGCTAGTGCGCACAGATGCAGCAGCTCAACACTCTTCTTATAAAGTGCAAAAGGAGATAATAGAATCCACAGCATTTTGCTGGGAAAGAAACACAAGCTTCAATAAAGGCAAAGGAGGACGATTGTGTATTTGTTTCCACAACGAGTGCACTATTGCCAGAATCATAGACAGACACTTTTCTTGTGATTTGGAGTACCTGTGAAATGCAGGCCCATTTACCTTCCATGTGAGTTCACTGTTCTTATAGTCACAGCTGTATTCATTCCACCGGTGGCTAATGCTAGCATAGCCCCAGATTACTTGCACAGCAGCATAACCACTCAACAAAGCACATATCAAACACATCAGTTGTCCCACTAGAGGGGAAACACACTGGATAAAGCTTATTTTAGCATTAACACCCTTTAAATCAACAAAACTTCCACACATGGGCCAGTCAGATCACTTGTCCACACTCTTAACCCCAGCATCCATCCATCCATCCATCCATCCATCCATCCATCCATCCATCCATCCATTCATCCATCCATGACTTAGGGCGAAGGCAGGGGACACCCTGGACAGGTAACCAATCTATCACAGGGATGCACTTAGAGCAGTGAGGTTCACAGCTGGTGAGGCACTGACTTCATCAGAATCAGATTTACAAACATATGCACTCTACAGAGTAGCTCATTTGCCATTTGATTGGCGGCAGTTTACGAGTTATGTTTCATATCTGCATTCTTTACACATGCAAACTGTAGCCCACAAAACACATTTCATTTGGAAAAAAAGAAAACATATTGCTGTCTTGCCTTTACTTATAAATAGAGTTCATGTGCTGCTCCTTCTGCACAAAAATATCCATTACTTTCTGGTAAAAGTCCTCTTTATCTTCCCTCTGTTTTAAAAGTCTCTCTGTCTCAATGAAGGTCACTGCCAGGAAAGAAAGCCTTCCTTGACCAGTTCTGTTCCAGCTGTATGTTTTGAGTCTTTTCAGTGCTGAGAATGACCGCTCCACCGACGCTGTAGTAGCTGCCACAGTGAGCACTAGCTGGAGCAACTTTGTTGTCTGAGGAACAGTTGCAATAAGATCCTTCTTGGCCAAAAAGCTGAGAGGCTGTCCAGGAGATTTACATTCATCCCTCACCATTTTTGAGCTATACAGTCTAATGAGATTAGCCTTTTGTTCTTTTAAAGTCAAAGTACTCGGCATATTTTGACAGGCTCTGCGGTTTCGTGTCATCAAAGTGTTGTGACATTTCACTGAATTTTGCGCAATCCACCAAACTGAGGAAAGCAAGTTCATCGAAGTGGTCAAACCTGGCCTTCATTTGATCGCTGATGTCGTCCAGAATGTTTCAAAACACTCGTCTCCATTCATCTCTAACCGACTGTCTGTCTCCACACTGTCAGGCCCAGTCCGCTGCATTTCTGCTCAAATCGGTCGTAGAAACTGTCAAACTCCAGTCTCATGCGCTCAATAACTGAAACTGTGCCACGAACGCGTGCAAGACAGTATTCAATGTCCATCACCTTGTTTTGCAGTATGCTAAAAAGTGCGCTGGTTTCATTGAAAATGCCCTCATATGCAGTAATGAGAAAGCATTTTGATGCATTTGACAGCCACTGATCGTATCCTGCTGCCATCATCAGCGTGTCATTATCCCAGCTGTCAGGATTTTCCATAATGATATGAAATGTGGTGCGCAGATGCTTTTGGTGCATGCTTGTTGTCTGCAGCAGCCCAGAGTTAGAACAACATCTTGTAGGCGCTGCTCTGGGTAAACGGCACTTGACAACATCATCCAACAAGTAAGTGCACTTTGTGGACTCGCTGAAAAATGTCCTGAGTCCCTCAGCTGTTTTAAAAAAATGTGCAAAACTTGGGCATGCACTTTGATGAATGCAATAGCACTCGGTTCAGCTTGTGCGCTTAACAGTGGGTTAACATGGCCTTGGGCATCTTTTCTTTAATGCTAGCCTGCACCCCATTAAGCTTGGATGCCATCACAGCAGCCCTATCATAAGTCTGAGCTA